AATTTGTAAAAAAATCATAATTTTATTTTTCACTCGTGAAGGGTTCGGTGAACGTGCATATGAACTGGTTAGGTTCGGTACCTCTGACAAGGTTAAGAACCACTGGTCTAGTACACGGGGTTAAAAGTACGACCCCTGTAAATGTGCAAAAATAGTCCACAATAGTGGATTCAAATGCTCACAGCTCACTTCCTGTCCGTTTAACTTTAGCGTATGTCTACCAACGACTTGATTGTACGGCTGAGGGTGCTACACGTACCTCCCACTTTTCTGACCCTTACGGTCATACATAGCGGGACAGGGCTCCGTTCAACCTCTCTGGAGCATGACAGACCCATTTTTCGTTTTTTATACTCATGTACATATGACATCTTTAAAAGATACATTTTTTGCCAGGCCTGATGTGTGTGTTTTGTAAGTATTCATTCATGTTTATGGCCTCAAAAATGTGATTCTTTGCAAAGACGAAGAATTCCGACAGAAACAAAAAAGACCTTGCAGCAGTCGCTGCTTCGGCCCCAATGAAAGAAAATTGAAGCTAGCTAACCGGATCACTCTTTAGCACATCACACTTTTGTGTGGTTACTCATTGCCAGACAGAATGAGTCACATGATTTTTTTCTTCTCCGTTGCCCCTAACAGAGGAGAAGGCACTAAGGGGGCCAAGTAGACAAACGATGTTATGTTTCATCAATAGATCAGAGAGATCACCCTGCTCATCTCCAGCTACATCAACAGCGCGCATCAGCAGAAGGCTGCAGCCCATCACCTCTCCGCCCCTGCTCTCATGGTGGCTCAGCCAATCAGCCTGAAGTGCAAAGAACTGAGGAGCAAGTCTCCACCAGCGCTGGATCGTCCCTGTAAGGCCCCCACGTTGTTGTAACAACACAGTCCTTTTCTGGGTTTATTAAAAAAAAAAAAAAAAGGGCAAGTCTCTTGAGGCCCTTTGCAGGGAGAACTTGAGCAGTTCCCTGCACAGAATGTTTGGGAGTTGACGTACCACTTGAATTGGATTCCGCTAGCTTTATAGGTACAAAGGTACAAACCAATTCGAGCATTTTCCTTATGAGTGTTGCCTTTCCGTGTCCTGGCTAAAGAGTCAACACTGTTTACTGATTGACTAATCTTATGTTCTCAGTATCATTAATCTCTGCTGTCGGGTGCATTTTTATGTACAAACACTGTGGTCTGGGGGAGATGAGGATGTTTTGAAAACTAAAATGGCATGAAGTTTACCTATTTACATCATTTTTGTGGAGCACAGTGGAGCACACCACAGTGCATACTGTTCTGGATTCAAGGTTATGTTATGTAAGAAGTCACGAAAGCTCGCGAAAGTAGAAATGTATGACAAGTTTCACGTGATGAAAATTGCACCTGCGGAATCTCGTCAGACTGGATGAGGACAAAATTGTCTTTATAAAAATCAGAACACTGTTTGGTTGACCTAATACTCTGGTTGGAAGTATCAAAATGCAGTACAGCGTGCAGCAAGAGAAATGAAGCTGTAGATATGGTGACCTGGTCGGGGAGAAGGACAAGTTGTAAAAGAGTAACATACCTGCCAGTAATGTGCTTTGTAGTTACTGAATAACCAGGACGGAAAGGAAACTGACATCCATACGAACTTCTCAAAGCTTCAGAATTATGTTCATTTTTGCAACATTTACCACACACATCATTATGTGGATTAAAAACTGGACATCATTTATCTTGTTATTTTAATAAATTGCTCCCATCGATGCGTTTGTCAGAATACATTTTATTTACATCATTTCTGGAACATGCATAAGTGAAGAAACTATGATAAATAAAACTGCATATGAACAAGATTCCAACCCTGTGATCGGTCTTGATGACATTCATTTTTAACGTGAAATGTAACATTCGGCATTTATGCGATATCTGCCGTCTTAAGGTCACTGTATAAGTCTTTGTCCACACGAAAAGGGCAACTACATGTTGCTAATGAGGCAAAACTGTGCACTAGTTAACATCTTTACGCTACTAGTACTTTTGGTGAGGCACTAGATGTGAACTACTTGACTTATGTAATGGAATCACTAGTAATACCATTAGCTCACAGTTCTCAACGATATTCTTGCCTGACCGGACACATGGAGTTGCCCAACTAGTCTGCGAAAGTTGCCCTCATAGTGAAGACAAATAGAGCGCAGGATTGCATGCACCTTAAACTGGTTGTGAGCCTATTTGAATGATTGCTCTAACCCTTGTCATAGTTCAGAGACACCTCCCACTCTCCAATGGCCGAATCTTAGATTGCTCATATCCACAAAATAACCCTTGCTACCTCATTGGAGTGGCTTGAGTGACGTGCTGATACCGTCAACCGCCACCTGACAGCAAGTGACACTCCCTCATTCCAGCCCTCTTTCACACAAGGCAGGGGGGGAGGGTATATGATACTCGACCTGTCTGAACGAGTCTGAGACATGCTTTTGTTCCAAGTTGCCGTGGTGATCAAAAAGGGAGGGCAAAGGGGGAAGTCGAAAATTGGGTGCGGCAAAAGAAGTTAAACACTTATAAGTAAATACGAATAATGATACTACCTCCCTTTGTGCTTATTGTCTGACTATTGTATGCGGAAATACGTGGGAATTAGGAAGCGCAATCACTATTACTTTACAACCATATCCCTCCAAAACAGATTCCGCGAGAATAATTACGGAGCTACATTGTGGCCAAGGCCACCTCTTCTCTCCTTCTGGTCATCCCGACACCGAGGGAAAAATTTTATCTCCAATTTTGCTGCCATTATCACATGGATGCTGTATTCTAATCCCCTCGATAGTCAAATTAGCAATATTGACTGCATGATTAAGAAATAAACATACGATTGATCCAAATGCAAGCTTGAAAAGAAACTATCCCAGATAAATAACATTTACAACGAATGTAAATTTAAATCATTACTTTCAAACCAAAAGAAGCAAACAAATTTAAAAAAAAAACTTGGATGAGAAATCATTGTTAACCATCATCCACAGTCATGGGTTCATGAAATAAAATGCACACAATTAGAAATGTTGCAGACACATTCAGACATAACACAAGCAGACACAAGCCTGAGTAAAAAAAAAATATTTAATTGTGAATAATTTGAAGAAAGGAGTGATAGATTGTAGGATACAAAATGGTTTTTGGCCGTTTATAACAAGTGGTCTTTTTGATTGACTGTTAGCTAGCAAGTGCATTGGCTGAAAGAAGACTAAGAAAAGTTATAAAAAGGAAAGCAATGGCAAAGAAAACGGCATTGTCAAATAAATTTGGCTCAGTAAAACTTTGCTATTTACTTGGACTTGTTTCTGCTTCATTATGAGTGAGATGGGCAGTGTTCTGGATAGTGGGAATTTTATTTCATGACACCCTGTTGATGGTATGCCAAAGAATGACGCATACATGAACGGCCCACTATTTATAAGTGCTTGTGTCACTTTGGCCACCCCACGGAAAAGTTTCTGCCCACACCCATGGATTTGAGTGCTGTCGAGCTGCTTTGCCTATGAAAAGGGAGTTTATACCATTTAACTGATTGCAGTACGAAGAAATATAAGTACAAAAACATTGAAATAATCATTTTAGTAAAGTCTGGTTATTTTTGCCAATTATTTTTTTCTTGCTGCCTAGTATTATTATGATCATCATGATTTCAAATTTCTCTCTGCAACTGTCCATCATTTGACAGAACTTACACAGAGATTGTTTTGCCCACAAACACGATGAACAAGCTGCGACAGGCAATCAAAATAAGTGACAGATTCACAGCCCTTTCAGTTTCTTTAGTAATTGCCTCTTTCCTTTGTCACTTCCGCCATTTTGCCATTGCAGTGTGAAGTTGTTTCAAACAAGAGCTTTTTCTTGTTGACTCACTTGTTGCATGAATACAGTGTGTTTCTAAATGCAAAGCAAAACCTGATTGTCAGGTTGAGCGCAATTCTGAACAACCTCAGAAACAAACACGTGCACAGAACACACCTCCCGACACCAAGGGACACTCAGCAGGCTCCAACTGAAAACAGTATTGTCAATACATAAAGTGCCCTCATATTGCGCACTCTCAGCAAATAAACCCAAATGCATGCTGGCTGCGTCACATTCATGTAGGTTTTGGGCGGAATGATGTCAACTCGTCTGTGCCAGTTCAGTTTCTATCCCTCAAGACAGGACAATGAAAGAAACATAAGGTCACCTTGAGTCAATATCCACCGCCTTTTTCAGTCACCAACCAGAATGTAGTAGTGTACTACATGAATGAATTCCTCCTTGTTTGGGTGGTTCACCAGTGGCCATATTTTCTAACACATATGAAGAAAACGTGAACAAAGTGAATTCTAGAGAAATTCTTTTAGCCATTATTTGTGCAAGGACTAGACATGCACACAGCTTGAGAGGACAAAACAGCTTGTGATAATCAATTTCTGGAAAGTACAAAAGAAGTTTAATTGTTCTCATTAAACAAATAATTGGTGGCCCGGTGGACTAGTGGTTAGCGCGTCAACCTCACAGTAAAGAGGTGCAGGGTTTGATTCTGGCTCCGGCCTTCCTGTGTGAAGTTTGCAAATCCATAGACGAAACTGGAGTACCCGGAGAAAACCCACGCAGGCATACGTGGGTTTTCTCCGGGTACTCCAGTTTCCTCCCACATTCCAAAAACATGCATGGCAGGTTAACGTAACACTATAAAATTGTCCCTAGGTGTGAGAGTGAGCGCGGATAGTTGTTCGTCTATGTGTCCCCTGCGACTGGCTGGCAACCAGTTCAGGCTGTCCCCCGGCTACTGTCGAAGAGAGCTGGGATAAGCTCCAGTGACCCATGTGAGGATAAAGAGGATCGGAAAATGGATGGATAAATAATTTTGCCATCAACTCATGTTCACATTGTAACAAATGGCGATAACTTGCTTATTGCCCTGTTCTGTCTCATTGCAGTATGTGACCCTAACACACCTTTCAAATAAACACTAATAAAGCTTCAACCGCAGCCTTTAAAACATTTTATTAAAAATAATCCAACAAGAACACACACACACACTTGTAAGAAACTGTACAATCTAAAATGGAATTTAAATCATTTAACAACATCTAAAATTTAAATACCACATTTAAGCATGGCATAGAGGTGGGATAAACTTTACCCAAGTTATAAATACAAGGCAGTATAAATTGTGCCAATAACCAAGCATTTTGATTGTTCCTTTACAAAAATTTGTCTTGTAGAACGGTGTATGGCACACTGCAAGTATGTGCATCCAACGATGACTCTGGCCTCCTGCCACAATGAAGTGTTTACATGGGCTCCATCTCCCTTTGCTACACAAAAACAACAGTAACATTATAATATTGAAAGGTTTGAAGGAAAGTCTCTGGAAGCCTTGTGTTCTACTCACCTGAGCTTTGTTGTACTTCTGACTCTGACGCCTTTTGAAGAAGAACTACACAAAGACAGAAAACAAAACATTTGTCAATAACTAATGTTTAAGATAAAGTATGGGGATTCGGAGTCATGTCAACTCACCAATAGCAGCAGGCCGGCCACCACAGCCAGCACGACCACCACGATGACAGCAATGATTCCACCCGTAAGATGCTTCATGGTGAATGTTGGGGCCTCCTCATCCACATAATACACCAAAATGTTCTCCATCTCCATTCTCTGGGTGCCCACAAGGGGCTCAAATTTCTCCTGGTTCTTGAACAGCGGCAGTACTTTCACCTGTGAGAAGAGGAGACAATCAGTATGTCAATTACACTACCCTCAAAAAATTTGGAACATTGTGACAAATTGCATAGCAGTACATCTTTCTCCATGTAGTAGGCCATATTGGTCAGATCGCTCTTGCGCTCTCCCTTGGGCTTCATCACATCCACCACAATCATGCGGGCATCAGGGTCATACTAGAGAGAGAAGGGGGGGGGGAAGTTTTGTGAAAGGATTGCAACTTCAAGTGCGTAAATTTATGTGAAACTAAAATACACGCCCATGACTCCATTTACCTCAATCTCTTTGACCATATCCTTGTTAAAGTTGTCATAACGCTTGTGGATAGCATCAGCAATAGCCCTGTTAGGGAAAGAACACTATTATTACAAAATGTTTTCATATACAGCGCCCAAGATCTTTCACACCAGTCTGAGCTTTCCAAAAGTCACAATACCGCATGTACTTACACCTTCAATTTATTAGCATCCACAGAACCTGTCACCGGTTTGTGCGTCAGCTGAAGACGGACCCAGCTAGAAGACAAAACATTTTAGCAATGGGCAAAGAAACTCCAGGCTGCCTTTGTGCTTCCCAACACAAAATGAGAATAAAAACACTTACTAGGTCTCAACCAGCTTCTCACACTTTAGGTTCTTGTCTCCCTTGTCTGTACGTCGAACACCGGCGCTGTTGACGCACCAACACTCCTCTGTGTTGTTGCACTGCTTGGCCTTGAATTTGCCATCGTTCTCACACTCTGGGTCGTAGATGCCGTCATTGTCCACAAAAGCGGTCTCGTCAGGCTTTCCTCCAATGGTACGAGTGTCCAACCCTTTTTTGGCTCTGTACATCTCAGCTTTCATCAAGAAGCACTTGGGGATCACTGGAGATGCATTGTAAGGGAAAATCATGTGTCAAATAGGTCACTCTCCAGTGGAGGAAAATTACTTAAGTAAAAGTGGGATTATTTACTTACATGAAGAGCAGTCAAGCGTCTGTTTCATTTGATCACCAATCATGACATAACACTCACATGGATTTCCATCACAGGTGGCCCACTTCATTGTGTTACATGAACCTGGGGAGCAACAGAATGAACAATGGTGACAACAAAAAAAATGATTAAGGCTAGATGTATCCCAACCAAGTGGTGACAAAAAAAAAAGGTTTCGAGAATTCTAAACATTGAGAGCAAATTTATGTTTTAAAATAAACTTCCATCATAATTTGATAGATATTATAAAAATGGCGAAGGTCACGATTGCTACACGGTATAATATTGTATTTTACATACTGCTAGCGCAATAAAAGCAAATGCTAATCAAGTCTTGGGCGTTGGTTTCACAAACAGAGAAGTCCCTGGGGAGCGGGACCAGCTAATTCCCCACCCCCACTTAGCAACGAAACTGAATGCGCTTGATATCCGCATTCGGTTTTATAAAAATGACCTCTGCCGGCACATATAAAAACACGTAATGTATTTTCAAACGACCAACTTTTGATTGACTCACATAAGTCACGGCAATTCAAATACAGGTGGGTTCGGTATTTGAAACACGATATAAATCACCCTAAACTAGCTCTAACCTCGAATATTACAATTTAAGGCATTAGGGCTACTTAAAATTATTATTTGGGTTAAAAGGTTGTCAAAGCGAACGACGTTGCGAATCGCTAAAAGCAACGCAAATGTTGAATCCAGGACTTACAGCCTTGGGCCGAGGCTCCAACCGCGAAGGCGGCGAGCACAAGAGCAATCCACATCTTCATGGTCGAATTAATAGCTGAAATACGTTTGTTGAAAGTCCTCCTTAGCTTGCTTTCGATCCGTCCGTCGTCCACAGAGGTCAAAAATGGAGTTGAGACACAAAGCTTCCTGTTCTTCCTACAGGTGTGTCCTCGTCAAACCTGTTTGGACAGAAGGGAACGCGCAAGGTAGGGTAAAGGCTCACTCAAAGCAACAGGCGTGTCTCAAAACTGAATCGAGATGACTCAATCAGTTTTGACTGGCTACAAAGGGGTAAGCACTGAGCAGGAAGGCATGAAGAGAATTTATAACGCCGTGAGTCCCGATACGTCACATTAATTTGCGTCGGTTGTGAAGGGGTGGGGAGATACGCGCGCACCTTTTGTGGTGTGATAAGTTTGCCCACCCCTGGTCTACGTCAACGGCACTGAACAGTTCCATTATCGGCCATGCAACAGGAGTTTGTCTTGTTCTGACAATGACCATCTCTCCTATTAGCAGATACAGGAATACATTAGCTGTCAATTGTATGGAACCGTGGAGGTGCAGTGCTCATGTGGTGTAAAAATATTTTGACTGGGAAATGCATTCAAACGCACTCGCATTTACGTTCAAACGTACTCGCAAACAGGAAGTCTAAATGCTTTAAACGTCGCATTTATGCATCATGCCATGTGGTATTTCATTTCACATATGCATACGCTGTGCCCTTACAGAAAAAAACAACCATACCTTTTTTTATTATTATACCAATAAAAATTGGTAAAATTAAGTGAGTAAACATTGTTTCGTCGGAATTTTACGGTTTTATTATGTCTGCAGTGCATGATTTATGTTAGTTTTATTCTGTCTGCAGGGCATGATTTACCTTAATTTTATTTTTACAAAATGCCACGGGTTGTGTGCATGTGGAAGTCAATCCCGCGTGGCATTACTGGTAAAAATAAATGTTAGATAAACAGTGTTGACCAACTTAACTTTGGAACGCATTGATATGTTTGATACTGTTTCCCATAATGCCACACGATTGCACATGCTGAATTCCGATCCAGTGGCATAAAAACAGTTTTAATAAACATAAAACATCCATTGTAGACATAATAAAACCATAAAATTACTAATAAACTATGTTTGCTGAATTAATTTTTGCATGTATTGGTATGTGACATGGGAATTGTAGCATTTAGCCTACAAGTACATTGAAACATATTTGCAAGTACGTTCCAACGTATTTGCGAGTACGTTCAAACTTATTTGTGAGTACGTTCCGACGCATTTGCCAGTCAAAATATTTTTACTCCACGTTGGCTTTTCCGTACGGAAGCGAGGAGCTGTCAATGTTAAGAACTTGCACGGTGTATTCTTTGTACATCTGCTGTAATATTGAGTTCTCATGTTGTTGTTGAGCAACCTCCAACTGGGTCCCAAAGCGGCTCCTAAAGCCGCAGCGACCCGGGTACCTGCAGACCCAGTGGTCGGCTGTAGACCGGGAACTGTTCGTAGGCCGAAGGCACGCCCAACACCGCTTGGAGGTCGTTCCCGAGTTGGGCTCATGTTGCTGCTGTTGAGCAACCTCCAACTGGGTCCCAAAGCGGCTCCTAAAGCCGCAGCGATCCGGGTACTTGCAGACCCAGTTGTTGGCTGTAGACTGGGAACTGTTTGTAGCCCGAAGGCACGCCCAACACCGCTTGGAGGTCGTTCCCGAGTTGGGCTGTTGCTGCTGTCTGAAAAGCATATTTCCACAGCTTCTCTTGGTAGCTTTCGCTCTCTCAAGAAAAAAAAAAAAAACCCTGCCCACGTCATACAATGTTCTCCACTCTCTCTCTCTCTCTCTGCAGTGCCATATTGGTGACGCGAATACGGTTGCAGATGTCCTGTCGCATGAATCCAACATGTGTTTCTACAAGCAAGGCCAAATGTGACTGTCAGGTTGAGTGCAGTTTGGAACGGCCTCACAGAGACAACAAATACAGGAGCACACCTCCTTACGTTAAACTGTTGTCACTCACCTAATCTCCTCCTCAAAACAGTATTGCCAATACTTAAAGCCCACTCATATTGCACAATCAGCTACAACGAAAGTTACAACTCATAAGGCGTGCTGCTGGATGAGTAACATTTATATAGGTTTTGGACAGAATGATGTGAACTAATACTGAAGTGATAATTTAAGTTTCTGTCACACAAGACAGAATAGCTAATCATCAGACAGTGAAATAAGCCTCAAGTCATCTTCAGTCAACATCCGTCACCTTTCCCAGTCACAAACTGGAATACTGTATTTGTAAAAAGAGTCACATATATGTTCATCTGTTTTATGATTTTTTGTTTTGTTCTGTTAACATCCTGTTCTTGCTATGCTTTATTTTATAGTGTATTTTTTCTACTACAGTGAAACTCCTCTACAACGAAATCATGTTTGCAGCAAGAAATTTTTCACAATGGGGTTTTTCACTGTAGCAAATTTGATCTCAGATGTAAGCACACACACGTATGTGTACTCTATTTTTATTCCAATAGTGCATAAGTATGAGCACACACTTATTTGACACTTGATATTGTCAGTGTAGAAAAAAAAAAAAGGGAAAGAAATTGCGAAATTTACGATCAGCATTCACTTTCACTTACATCAATTTCTTGGATAATGTCTTTTATTTTGCTTGCTCCGTCTTTCATTTTGATCACTTTTACCCTCTCTTCCAGCATCAGAGCTCTTCTTGTCTTAGCTGCATGACATCCAAAGGTCTGTTTTGTAGCCATTTTAGCAATGCAACGTCCATCCTCGTCTGAATCTAACAATAACAAATACTTCCTGGCATGCAATGAACTTTTAAGCCAGCCACGGGACACTTCGTAGTCCTCGATGGCCATAGTTAGCTCTCGAAGGCTAAAAACCTTACGCTAACTGGAGCGCTTCTCTCTCATTAGCGTAAGGTTTTTAGCCTTCGATAGCTAACTATGTCCATCAAGGACGACGAAGCGTCCCGTGGGTGTTTTTAGCATGATAACAAGTAAATCATTCGAGGAAACGTTCGTTTATTTGAATGTCCGTCGAGCCACTGGAGCGCTAATGAGAGAGAAGCGCTCCAGTTAGCGTAAGGTTTTTAGCCTTCGATCCCTCTTGGCCAATCGGAGGCCAGGATGATGCTCGGTAAGCCAATGGCAGAGCAGCTATGAGTATGTTGAGTACAGGAAACTCGCAGCTGGGACCGAAATAAACATCGTTCACTATGTAAACCAGTGTGGTGGTTGCTGTTGCCTTTTTTTCGAATGAAGCATTAGAGGTCGCTGTTGGATAAGACGTCGTTGTCGTAAATGTCTTCGTGAGGCTGGAGCAGAGAAAATGATTTTGTATAACGCAACAAGGGGGTTTTCGTCGTATGGGGGCAGAAGAATGGGAATTGTGTTAATGCATGAAGATTTTTTCACATAAGGGGGTATTTTCGCCCATGTAGGTTTCGTTCTAGAGGAGTTTCACTGTATAACGCTTTTATTTCGGTGCTCTTCCGGTAGTTTAGGAAGTGCCGATCCACACGCGATCTCCTGACTTTGGGATGCTTCACAAAAAAAGGAAAAAGAAGTCGGCGATTTAACGTGGTTTTGATTGAAAGGTAGTTGGACATTTTGACGTTCAACGTAACGGATTTATACATTGATGAAAGCACCTGGTTGGAATGGGGACAATGTTTGTTCGTTGATTTATTTATTTTTTTTTTATGATGTGGTAGTTAACCATTGAAAGGTGTTTCGTATGTTATTTATATTGCGGTTAAAGCCTCTCGTCGGTTTTTGTGTAGAGTTGATAGCTTTCTGTTAGAGCTAGTTTTCATATGTCCATTTAAAGTTATGTTAAATGACTATTTGCCTGATTATAAGAATGTTCATTTATATTTGTTATTGTTTCTTTCATGCCGTAGCACTTACCATGTGTCCACAGTGGAAACAACACAACTGTAAGGAATAAAAACCTTTGTGAAACGTCAGTGAGTGCGCTGTACCATTGTCTGGGTGGGTTCGCTACGCACGACTGCTACTACTACTACCACACAGCAGATGGCAGTTGTGTGCTCATTTTCAGGTTGTGCGCAGGGAGCACGGAGCGCCAGACGTTTCCATGACTGATTCCCATGTACATTTGTTGACGCAGCCATGCTGGCAGGATAGCAGCGGCAGCGTGCAATGGATTTACAATGGAGAGCCGTGATAAAAATAGCATTTATCCGTCCAAGTGAATTCACATCTCACTTTGATGAAAAGGAAATATAGTACGGATTGAGATACACGTGCCACCTGGACGGGTTGAATATTACAGACATTGGATCATCAAAAAGCTTGGAAGGTTATAAATTTAGGTTATGGGTTGTGCGTACGGTACTTAAACTTGCATGGCTTAATCTTTGAGATAAGAAAATCTTCCTGTCAGGATCAACAACGGTACATTTCCTCAAAGCCAGGGCTGGGCTGACTGGCGGGGTTCCAACCCTGTTTAGAAAAACTGCACTGCCAAATGTGTTCCTTGTAGGCATTAATCCTGACATTCTCATTTTGATTAAGAAAAAAAATCGGCAAAAATGGTTTTATTTATTTTTGTTTTGTAATTGAAGGTGTTTTAAATACTTTGTTCTTGAGTAGTGTTGCTGATCAATTTCTGTTTATTATATATTGACTTGCTTTTATACCATTTTATTTTTCAGTATCGTCAAGTTAAATTAGTCAGTCAAGAATGTTTAAATAGGAATTGAATATTTGTTTGAATTTAAGGCAAATTGATACACTTTTAAGTATTTTGTTGTAGACTAAAAAATAATGTTAAAGTTATTCTATCGGGAAGTTGTCTAATTTTTTTCATTTTCTTCTTCTAAAAAAATAAAACAATTTTCGAGACAAATTATCGGATTTCTGTGGTGGGTGGAAGCGAAATGTTTTCGTCTTCCTGAGGGGGTAACTCATTAAATATATGATAAAGCACTGGTTTAAAATCTGCCATCGTTAGTTATTAGGTCTGTCATCGTTAATTTCACCCCACTTCCACCATTGCTTAATTACAGTTCGTCACCACTATTTTAGGAGCCTGAGCCAGTTCGTCATCGCCAGTCCATCATTATTTTAACTACGCTTTCATCATTGCTAAATGACAATTCTTCATCACCAAAAAAACAACAGACCTTCTTCTTCTTCATCTTCTTCTTCCTGGCGGCGCCGCATCCAACGTTCTAAATTAACAACTACCGCCAAATGGGTATTAAAATTCATTTTGATAAAAACTGACCTGACAGTTTCGCCGGTGATGCGTGAGACAACTGTCAGTCAGATATGGAAGGTGCCTCCGATAAGTTTGACACACGTACGTCGTGCAGGTGCACCTGCCGCCGATCACAAGTGTGGCTTAAACTTTGTTAAACTAAACAAACAGTCGCGTCAGTGCAACGCTAACTAGAAGATTATATTGTGCAAAATAGGTGGCAGGACATGTCGAAACGTAGTGCGGTGTCTGATGAGTTTAGTGCTCCCTCCCACTCCTCTGCAAAGCCTCCAGCGAGTGTCATGATCGGGCAAGTTACACAATAAAATATGTACGATGCCAACATTGGCGCAACTAACAACTAAAGATTGGGTCAACTCAAATGCAAATAAACAGCTAACATTAGCCGATGTACAGTATTTCATATACCAAGTGAGAGTGTGTGTCCAGAACATGCACTTTGTAAACACACACTGCAACTGCTGCTATTCTGAACTAACTGGGTTACCAGATTGCTCTGCTTTTGTCTGTCGACACATCAGGTGAGCCCATCAGGGTTCATTGTTGCGTATACTCATTTTATATCATGTGTGCATTTATTTTTAACATTTGCAAAGAAAAACAAAATCCACACTTTTTTTTTTAACGTGAATATGTGGAATATGTGCAAGATGTATAAATGCAGCATTGGGGGTCGGCGAGCCATGCAACACTACCACACCACAGATAACAGGTCAAGTTGGTCGGTGCAAAATCCCAAAGAAGTCTCAGCAGTTTGACAAACACTGCTCTTTCACATTCTCACACAGGTCAGCAAACCTACGAATAAGAAAGACTACTTCCCCTGAGTACACTGACAATCACCATAATAGAAAAGCCTGCACACTCAAGGTACATGCACATACATGCAAGCACACATTCAAGATGGGAAGAAACCACCATGAATGGCTCCTCCACTCAAATAAAGAGGAAAAAGTACCTAGTTGTCCATGAAACTTTGGAATTATCAATGTATGCACGAAAGATGTCAATATAATCTAATGAACATTAAAAGTAAAAAAAAATAAGGTGCTCTTATTTTTAGATTCGACAGCAGAACTTGCACACTCAAATGTCCTATAAACTGAGAGCCCAGATATCTGGACTGAACCAAATATGCCTTGTCCCTGAAGCAGACATAGACATCCAGTTGTCTGTGTTTTGTTGTCTCTGAGGCTCCTGTCAAACTGAGCCAATGGTGATTCATTCATTCATGCTTTCGTAAGGCTTGTGAGCAGCTGGCTGGCTTTTACCGTCAGATAGCAAAAGACCTGCGATGGAAGGTGTTTGTTCATTACCTCTAGTTGAGGTGATGCGCTTGGACAACTCGGCGTGGGACTCTAGCGTCTTCATGCCCATTGTCCCCAGCTTGATTCTTTTTTTTTTTTTTTTTTTGCATAAAATGCAGAAAGCCTCGGACACACTGCGCTCCACCGGTTTTGAGCCAAAGTTGAATGGGATTATTTACTCAACCCCGACTTGATGAATTTACATTTCCCAATATCACTCATGAAATGGTGGCTATGTGTGGGAAAAAATAAACTCATAAAAAAAAGCACATTTGTGGTCCAACTCGTGATCTTCAGTGAACTCAAGTTGTATTTTTGAACTGGGACGACAATGCATTCTCAATGTTTCCCTTTGAATCAAATAACACTTGAAGTGAAAATGTGGGACCCAGATATTAAAATTCAAGACTTTTTAAGGTATTACTTCCAAATTCGTACATTCCATGCTTTTAAGACTTTTTAGGATCTTGTGGGAACGCTGTAAAAATACAAAGCAGTTTGAATGGTGCCAATAACTCAACTCAACTCAAGTGTATTTATAAAGCACTTTAAAACCGCTGTACATGGAGCAAAAATAATTCATACAACAACACACAATAAAAAAATAAATTAATAATCAAGACAGTAAGAAAGCACAAAAACAGTAAAACGAAAAATCTAGCCTCATGATGAGTCAAAAGTGAAAGAATAAAAATGAGTTACAAGACGAGTTTTAAAATTTGTCTTCCTCGGAGAACGGGGTATGGCACACTGCAAGTATGTGCATCCGATGAGGACTGTGGCCTGGTGCAGCGATGAAGAATTTACATGGGACCCATCTCTCTTTGCTACACAAACATAAAAAAAAAGGTCAACATAAAATATGCAGAGGCTTAAAGAAGTAAAGTCTCTGGAACTTTGTGTTCTACTCACATGAGCTTTGTTGTACTTCTGACTCTGTCGCCTTCTGAGGAAAAACTACACACAGACAGAAAACAAAACATTCGTCAATAACTAATGTTTAAGATGAAGTCTGGAGATTCGGAGTCAAGTCAACTCACCAGTAGGAGCAGGCCGGCCACCACAGCCAGCACGACCACCACGATGACAGCAATGATTCCACCCGTAAGATGCTTCATGGTGAATGTTGGGGCCTCCTCATCCACATAATACACCAAAATGTTCTCCATCTCCATTCTCTGGGTGCCCACAAGGGGCTCAAATTTCTCCTGGTTCTTGAACAGCGGCAGTACTTTCACCTGTGAGAAGAGGAGACAATCAGTATGTCAATTACACCCGCCTCAAAGAATTTGGAAAATGGTGGCAAATTGCATCGCAGTACATCTTTCTCCATGTAGTAGGCCATGGTGGCCAGATCGCTCTTGCGCTCTCCCTTGGGCTTCATCACATCCACCACAATCATGCGGGCGTCGGGGTCATACTACAGGAAAAAAAATTGTATATTTGTACATCAGGTGTGTAAATGTATGTTAAACCAAAATACTCAAGAGTCCACTTACCTCGATCTCTTTGATCATGCCCTTGTTAAAGTTGGCATAACGCTTGTTGATAGCATCGGTAATAGCCCTGTTAGGGAAAGAACACTATTATTACAAAATGTTTTCATATACAGCGCCCAAGATCTTTCACACCAGTCTGAGCTTTCCAAAAGTCACAATACCGCATGTACTTACACCTTCAATTTATTAGCATCCACAGGACCTGTCACCGGTTTGTGCGTCAGCTGAAGGCGGACCCAGCTAGAAGACAAAACATTTTAGCAAAGTACAAAGAAACTACAGGCTGCCTTTGTGCTTCCCAACACAAAATGAGGATAAAAGCACTTACTAGGTCTCAACCAGCTTCTCACACTTGAGGTTCTTGTCTCCCTTGTCTGTACGTCGAACACCGGCGCTGTTGACGCACCAACACTCCTCTGTGTTGTTGCACTGCTTGGCCTTGAATTTGCCATCGTTCTCACACTCTGGGTCGTAGATGCCGTCATTGTCCACAAAGGCGGTCTCGACAGGCTTTCCTCCAAAGGCACGTTCTTTTTCGGCTCTGAACATCTCAACTTTCATCAAGAAGCACTTGGGTATCACTGGAGATGCATTGTAAGGGAAAATCATGTGTTGATTTAGACCATATTTCTTGGGATATGTTTTTGTTGTAGTTTAGTTTTACAATGAGTGTTTTTTTAATTGTTAATTTGTGACATCCATTAAGTAGCAGATTTTTATCCACATTTGCAAGAAGCCAAATTTCGATATGAGGATATTCGCTTGTGGCATTTGAAAGCAGAAAATCGGAATCGTGTCACTTGAAGGTACTCCACTCCCCACACTGAAGGGAAATCATATTACTTCAGTAAAAGTTAGATTATTTACTTACATGAAGAGCAGTCAAGCTTGTGTTTCATTTGACCACCAGCATTGACATAACACTCACAAGGATTTCCATCACAGGTGGCCCACTTCATTGTGTTACATGAACCTGGGGAGCAAAACACCAGAATTAAAGGTTAGAACGATTTCTAAAGAGAGCTCAACTCAAACTTGTATTTTGAAATAAAACACTTCATGATTTGGTGTACAGTAATCCCTCGCTATAACACGGTTGATCTTTCGCGGCTTTGCTTTTTCACAGATTTTTTTGTTTTTGTTTTTGTTTTTTAACGGTGCATTGTCTTCTGCAACCTGATTGGCTAAGGGACTGTCAACCAATGTCAACAGTCCCCGCACCTCATCGCTGTACAACTTGCCAAATTTTCTCCATGACAAAACCCACAATGCCGAGGAAGAATTCTACACGGGCAAAGGCACCTCGGGACGTGCCCAAAAGAAAGAGGAAGATACTAACGATCGCAGAAAAAGTTAAACTTCTCGACATGCTGAAGGAAGGTAAAAGCTATGCGGCTCTAGGGCGCCATTACGGAAATTAAATGAATATTCCGTTCGTTCCATAAAGAAGAAAGAAAACAACAAAGACGACAGCAGCAATAAGTTTTAACAAGGATGCAAAAGGGTTGTAACTGTCCATAACAAGACCATTGTAAGGATGGAGTCTGCTTTAGCTTTATGAATTAATGACGACAGTAAAAAATTGTGCTGGATACAAACATTATCGGCACAAAAGCTACAAAACTATATGAAATCTTTGCTGACGGCGATGACATTCATGACAGTGAAAAGCAGGAGGAGGATCCCGCCTACATGTGTTTTATGCCAGCGAGGGCTGGTTTGATAAATTTCAGAAATACTTTGGACAGAAAAATGTTTTCTGCATGGAAAGGCCGCCTTTGCAGATACCGCTGGAGAAGAGGCGTGCGTGAACAATACATTTAAATTGAGGAAGGGGGATATATGCCTGACCAAGTTTTAATATATATATATATATATATATATA